TCACAAAAGAAAGATTTATTACTATTTATTCACACAATTTCATTATAAAATTTTGGGGTTTTACATTCTTCCCCCCTTCAAAAGAATTTCGTCCTCAAAATTCGGAAATTATACGAATCTCGAAATATAAATTACTAGATAACATATAAAGATATTTATACTTAGCGATCTAAAATGGTAATATTCTCGCTCAAATCCTAATCTAGTGGAACTAGTACATCGGGCGAAAAATCCAAACAATGAACCCCCCATATATATACCATGTGTTCCAAAAGATTAAAATTTAAACGAAAATATCTTCATTCTAGTGTTAAATATAAACATAACCAAAAATATAACATAAAGTAATATATATAACATAATAAGAATTAATTTACCTGCTCAACCAAGTGTGGGTAGTCGCGACGTATGTCCTCTTTGCGCTCCCAAGAAATCTCCTCAATGCCTCCTCGGATCCACTGAACTTCCACTAAGGGAATCACCTTATTCCTGAGTCTCTTGTCCTCCCTGGCAAGTATACAAACCGGAATCTCAATAGTAGTCAAATCCTCCTGAAGCTTAATCTTTGGTGCATCCAATACTCGTTGTTGCTCCTCATCATGCAAGTGTTTCTTGAGCATAAAAATGTGAAACACGTTGTGTATACTAGACATCGATGCTGGAAGATCTAGTCTGTATGACACAGCTCTAATGCGCTCTAAAATCTGAAATGGTCCAATATATCTCGGCGCAAGCTTCCCCCGTCGTCCGAATCGTTGTACGCCCTTCATAGGCGATATCTTCAGCATGACTGAGTCTCCAACCTGAAACTCCAAGGGTCTTCGTCTCTTATCGGCATAGCTCTTCTGCCGACTCTGAGCTGCTAGAATCCTCTCTCTGATCAAGGCTATTTTCTGAGTAGTCTGCCTCACCAACTCCGGCCCAAGCATCAAGTTGTCCTCCAGCTCGGCCCAACATATCGGTGACCTACAAGGTCTCCTGTACAATGCTTCATACGGGGCCATACCGATTGTCGCTTGATAAGCAAACTCTACCAGTGGAATATGATCCTCCCAGCTGCCTTGGAAGTCAATGACACATGCCCGCAACATGTCCTCCAACACCTGATTCACCCTCTCCGTCTGACCATCCGTCTGGGGGTGGAATACACTGCTATAAGATAGCCTGCTGCCAAATGAGTCCTGGAAACTCCTCCAAAAATATGAAGTGAAAATCAACCCTCGATCCGATACGATCGTGTCCGGAACTCCGTGAAGTCGAACTATCTCCCGAATGAAGATCCTCGCATAAGCCTCGGCTGTATAAGTAGTCCTCACTGGAATGAAATGTGCCGACTTCGTCAACCGGTCCACAATTACCCAAACTGAATCATTCCCCTTCTTCGACTTCGGTAACCCTACAATGAAGTCCATAGAAATGTCCGCCCACTTCCACTCCGGAATGGGTAAAGGCTGAAGTGTCCCTGCAGGTCTCTGATGCTCTGCCTTCACCTGCTGACAGGTAAAACACTTAGCCACATACTCTGCTATCTCCCTTCGCATACCACTCCACCAAAAGTGTCTCTTCAAATCCTTGTACATCTTGGTGGTTCCTGGATGCACTGTGTACCGAGTACGGTGTGCCTCATCAAATAATTCCCTCTTCAGCTCTGCGCTGGCTGGCATAACCAATCTACCCTTCATCCGTAGACCTCCATCAGCTCTAATGGTCCAATCAGTCTTAGGCTCTTTGGAAATCTCCTCCTTTCGGATTTGAATCCAAGAGTCTCCCAACTGAGCTCTGACAACTCTGTCACTCCAAGATGGCTGCACCGTCACAGCTCCCAAAAATGCACTGGTTCCTCCAATCTCGGTCTAAAATCAAACTGGCTAAGAGTGATAAGATCCCGATGCAATGAACACCTCAAGGCTGAAATCTGATGTCTACGCTTCCTACTTAAAGCATCTGCCACGACATTCGCCTTTCCCGGATGATATTGGATCGCGAACTCGTAGTCCTTAATAAACTCAATCCGTCTCCTCTGTCTCTGGTTGGGTTCCTTCTGGGAAAAGAGGTACTTCAGACTCTGGTGGTCTGTGAATAACTCAAACTGCACCCCATATAGGTAGTACCTCCAAGACTTCAGTGCAAATATCACTGCTACCAACTCCAAATCATGAGTGGGATAGTTCTGCTCATGCACCCTCAACTGCCGTGAGATATAGGCTACTACTCTCTGAGTCTGCATCAATACGCCTCCTAAGCCTGGCAACGATGCATCCGTATATACGACGAATGTCCTGTCACTGCTCGGAATAGTCAAAACCGGCGTTGTAGACAACTTAGTATTCAAAATATCAAAGGCCTTCTGGTACTCCATGCTCCATATGAACTGTACACCCTTCTTCGTAAGGTGTGTAATAGGCGTCGCAATCTTTGAGAAATCCTGAATGAACTTCCTATAATATCCAGCTAGACCCAAAAAGCTGCGAATCTCTGTCACCGTCTTCGGTGGCTCCCAATCAAGAACTGCCGTGACCTTAGCTGGGTCCACTGCTATGCCCTCTCTACTAATGATGTGACCAAGGAATCTGACTTCTGAAAGCCAAAATTCGCATTTGCTGAACTTGGCATACAGCTGATGCTCCTGACCAAAATTCGCATTTGCTGAACTTGGCATACAGCTGATGCTCCTGAAGAGTCCTCAACGCTATCCGTAGGTGCTCCCCGTGATCCGCCTCCGATCTCAAGTAAATGAGAATATCATCGATGAAAACGATCACGAACTGATCTAAGAAGGGACGGAAAACCCGGTTCATCAAGTCCATGAATACCACGGGTGCATTGGTCAACCCAAATAGCATGACCAAGAACTCGAAAGAACCATATCGAGTAAGAAAGGCGGTCTTGGGAATATCAATCTCCCTAACCCGCAACTGATGATAGCCAGAACGAAGATCAATCTTCGAGAAATATTGCGCTCCCTGTAACTGGTCAAACAAGTCATCAATCCTAGGTAGTGGGTACCTATTCCGGATAGTGACCTTGTTCAACTCTCTATAATCTATGCATAATCTCATACTACCGTCCTTCTTCTTCACGAAGAGGACCGGCGCGCCCCACGGAGAATGACTCCGGCGAATAAAACCCTAAGCTAAAAACTCATCCAACTGGGTCTGAAGCCCCCTCATCTCAGCTGGTGTCATACGATAGGGCGCGCGGGATATCGAGGCTGTGCCTAGCTGTAACTCAATACAAAACTCCACCTCTCTCGCCGGAGGTGATCCAGGTATGTCCTGAAAGACATCCTGATACTCTGAGACAACTCTAGTCTCCAATAACTCAGCACCCTGATCCCGTCGCATCACCTCCTCGATGTACGCTAGAAATGACTCCACAAGTCGGTTGCCCTGAGAGGCGGCTACAATCATCTCGGACCCGTCGGACGCTCGCAACTTGACTGTCTTCGCAAAGCAGTCAATGCTAACATGGTAGGAAGACAACCAATCCATACCAAGGATGACATCGAACTCGGACATACGCAACACTATCAAATCAACTATGAACTCCGACTCGTCTAAACTGACGGTACACCTCCTACAAACGCTCTCCAGAAGCGATACCTCTCCTAAAGGGGTGGAAACAGATAAAGGGGTGTCTAGTGGCTGAGCTACAAGCTGGAGTCTAGCCATAAATGTATGCGATATGAAGGAATGCGAAGCTCCCGAATCGAAAAGAATACGGGCGGAAAAGGAATTCACAAAGAACGTACCCTCAACTACGGCTCCGCTAGCCCCATGATCGCGTGGAATAACCGCATAAACCCTGCCCGTGGCTGAAGACTGCTCTGCTCCTGGAGCTGGAGAAAATGGGACAATCCGCCCCTGAGGAAACTTCTGAACTGCTCGAACTTGCCCCTCAGTCTTCTGCTGCTGCTGAATTGGACCATTTCCCTTCTGAGTTCTTGTTAGTGCACTGCGGCATTCTAATGCCTTGTGTCCAACCTTGCGACAGTTAAAACAAGTTCCCCGGAACTTGTGCTGCTGTCGAGTTCTCTGATCCTGTTGAGATCCCTTCTTATGAGGGCCCTGCTGTTGCTGTTGAGGTCCAGTCAAGGGTCTCTTGTTCTTACCCTTGTCTCCGACGTGCACTCTCTTAGTACTCCCTTCCTTGTCCCTCTGAAACTTAGCTGTCCCTTTTTTTTTTAGAAATGACGGTTTCAGCTACTGGTGGTGGTGGTGGTGTAATGTGATTTGCCACAAGCTCCTCGATTGCTGCTATCCTAGCGACTAGGGGAGCTATAAGATCTACCAGGTACTGGGGAGTCTGATGTGGCTCGGGTGGAGTTTGCTGTGGTTCAGCCTGTCCAGATCTCTGAGTACGTGACATATCATATTCTGACATCTCTGTTCAAAAGAAAATAAGAGTTTAGGAGTCAAAATAGACCTCTATAAATAGCGTATCACAATACAATTTTCACATATATAGTATTTGCATAAATACTTTAAATTTATACAAAATAGTCGTCATTAAAAAAAATTCTCAAAATTTTGAGATATACGCATATATCGTCCTCACTCATACTAGGAATTCCTTTCGAACTCTATACATGAATCCTAAGAAACTCTATCCTAGTTCCACAACTCGACACAGGATGATCCTAAAGAAATTGGAACTAGAGCTCTGATACCAACTGTGACGCCCCTGGGTTCACACAAGGCTGCAGTCCAAGGTGAAACTAAGAATGTCAAACCTGTCATGCACCACACCGTGCATTAACTTATTTCACCATCACAATTAACATCTATCTAGTAGAGTCAACAACTGGTGTAGGTACAAAACATGTAAAAGATAATACAAGGAATACTGATGAAATGATAATAGTCATATAAATATCTCATCATCCAACGTACAGAAATACATAGTCAAGATCTGAGTAGATAAACTGGAATACTCAACAAGTCTCAAATACACATAGCTGACGAAAAGGAAATAAGGCACACAACCTTTACAACTTCTAGAACAAGACTCTCAAATGTCTAAACAAAAATCTACTGTGGAACTCCAGAAGAAAATATATAACTAAATAGAAGGCGGAGGCTAAAATGCATCCCCATCAACCTGCGACTCTCCGGGCTCCTGGCTCGTTACCTGAAAGGGGGAGGGACAACGAGCGTCAAAGCGCTAGCGAGTAACATCACAACCAACCCCAAGGGAACAGGGCTCGTTGTATAAGAAAAATACAGTTAATATATAAGAGATCAAAAATCATTGATCTTACTAAAGAGGGTTTTAGTATTTAGAAATTTACAACACGAGCATAGGTACGTCGAGCGAAATAATCCAAACAAGGAAACCCTCATGTATATACCTTACATCTCAAATTGTAAACTCCTAAATACCAAACCCAAGGTTCTAGTGCAGTAATAATAATAAAAGAAATACGACGAACACCAGAGCATGAAAACAGTGTTGTGACATAGCCCACATGAGTATCATGTTATTACTTACATGAATATCATGTCAAAATCTACATAAGTGTCATGTCAAACTCACATGAGTGACATGTCAGAAAACGATTAAGTGTCCAAAACATAGACTATATAAATTAAACGTCCAACCCATAGACTGCATGAAGTAAACGTCCAACTCATGGACTGAATATAACCGTTGTCCAACGCATGGACCGGATGTGACCGTTGTCCAACGCATAGACCGGATGGTAATGCATATCCAGCACGAGGATTAAATAGCAATGCATGTCCAACACGAGGACTAAGTGGGAAGGGTGTCCAACACGAGGACTAAAAGGTAATGCTTGTCCAACACGAGGACTGAGAAATTGTGCAAATGTCACTGAGATATATAGAAAAAATCTACTTATATCAATCCACACTCAAATCAGTGTGTAAGTCCCCAATTTATACCCTCAGGTCATCTATCATACATGGATACATAGTTAGACTAAAACCAATGTCAGATAATCCAGTCAAACCCTCGAACATGAGTGAAATACTCAAAAATACACAAAACAGGGGTTTTACAACAGACAGTGCGGCGGTCGACCGCACCGGTCGACCGCTGCGACCTCGCGGTCGACCGACAGAGCGTCGAGGTCGACCGATAAAGCTCTGCGGTCAACCGCAGCCCTAAAACGAGCCCAGCGGTCGACCGCTCCGGTCGACCGCCAAGCGGACAGAAACCCAAATCTGGGTTTCTGTCAGCTCGAAACCTGAAACAATAATTTGATATTCTACGATAACAAGAGTTTTAATGATTCAAAAATCATACTGAAGATAAACAACTAATCTCAAGCTTGAAATCTACATTTCCAATATTTTAAATCCATGAGAAACAAACCAAAAACGTTTTAATAACTGTAAAAATGATTTAACTCTTGTTTAGGAAATTTTTAGATCTAGATCTTTATAAAAACAGAACGTTGGTGAATTTTTATAAACTGAAACCTCTGATTCTTGTTAACCATATTATAGAGAGTTCATTGTTATACAAAAATACCATTTTGGCTCATTAAAACTCATAAAAATCCAAAAGAAAATCATAGAAAACAGGGGTGAGGGGTTGGGCGAGATGATACTCGCCTTAGATGCTGACAAAAGCCCTGAAGATGATCCTCCTTCGATCCATCCTGCGAAAATCCCCTGAAAATCCTTCGAACTCCTCAAATCGCCAGATCCAGCTAGGGTTTTGAGAGAAGAGAGATTGGGGCTAGGGTTTTAGGTCTGAGATGAAGAGAGGCTCTCCTGGGTTGAATTAGTATATATACTAATTCCCTAACCCGACCCGAAACCCAATAAGACCAAAACAAAGACCGTAAAAACCCAAACCTGAAAACTCTCTGACCGCAGTGCGGTCGACCGCGCAGCGGTAAAATGCCTGCTGCTAGGCATTTTACATGCTGGCCTTAATACTCGATTTCTCTCACTTATATACACCTGTTGGGTTCCCAAACACTGATAAATATATACATCTTATATATATATATATATATGGTTATTTATCACAAAAGAAAGATTTATTACTATTTATTCACACAATTTCATTATAAAATTTCGGGGTTTTACATACTTGCTCTCTAGGACCTCCCAAATCTTCTTCGCAGAAGTCTCATTCATCACATCATATTTTAAATCTTGAGTGAGACAAGACCTAATCACATCACACGTTATCCGATTCATCTTTTTCCAAACCTTTTTATCAATGTCATCTGGTTTCCCGTCCAACTCCAACGTATCTTCCAAATTCTGTGCATTGAGCGCATCCAAGACTTCACATCGCCAAAGTCCAAAATTGTTAGTGCCATTGAACTTCTCCACGTTAATCTTCATCGAGTGGATACTCAAACTTTGAACAGTCTTCACACCTGAAGAACTACCCTTAACTCCCTCTTTCTCGGCCATAATCCTCAACACACCAACAACCAATGCGGAAACAAACGAAGAATAGATCCAAATCTGAGAAAAGAAAGAAGTTTTACCAAAAAGATCCCACATTTCTCACCAACTGAAATCCTAGACGAGCTTCCCAAATCGATCTACTCCTCCAAATAGCCCAAGCGTAGCCCGAGCTCTGATACCAATTGTTGTGTCAAAAGCTGTGTCGAGGAACCAAACCAAACGCCAATCCAAGAGAGCCAAACGAACTAAATATCAATGCACAAACAAAACACCAATTTTAACGTGGTTCGGCAAGTTGCCTACGTCCACGGGGCAAGAAAGGGGATGAGGTTTTCACTAATAGAGAAAGAGTACAAACTGAGATTACAACTCACTCGAAGGAACAAACTAATCTCACCAACAAGCTCTTAATCTCTCCAAACAAAACCCTAAACAAATAGCTCAGAAAATACCTCTTTTCTGTGCTCCAAATATCCCCAATTTGCTTCTCCCAAATTCTCTCTTCCAATTGTTCCATATATATAGAAATCCTAAAATCATAAACATACTAGGAATTCTAAACCAAAAGCCAAATCAAATTATGAATCCTAATAACCTATTACCAAAATAGATTAGGAATCCTAATAACCTCATGTTACCAAAATAGATTAGGAATCCTAATAACCTCATGTTATCAAAATAGATTAGGAATCCGCTATCCAACAAGAATGGCATGTAAAGCAGTTAAACATTCACCAGAAAGATTTTAAAAAAAAAGTTTTTTCGTATATAATAAACATCTATCTGCGACATACATTGTTCTTTTCCAGCAACACGGATAAATTGCAAAGAGCTCACAAATTAAGACACAACCTTGCTCAGAAAGTTTATAGAGGATTACACGCACATGCAATACAAAGAATTCATTATATCAGATTACCTCTGGAGATCATTACCAAGAAGTGCACATAAAAAGCAGTAAACATTAAACATTGCTTGTTTGTAACGTAAAACACAGAGCAAAGAGTTCACATAATCAGCTATGTATTGGTCAGTTACTGATACTGGATACAAAGAAGCAACTTAGTAGCAGAAGCTAGCTTAGTCCAGACCTATAACCGCAGATACATCGTCCATACACTGACCAGAGAAAATTGACCATCACATATAGCTTCATTAAAGTCTTGTTCACACAAAGAAAAAAAAACCCTTCAGAAAAGTGGTATTTTTGGTCGTGGAGACCAAATTGCAAGTCCTCATAGGATTTGAGGGCTAATGAGAAATTTCTAGGATTTGAGGGGCTCATATGCAAGTATCGAAGACGGAGGGACTAGTATCTAAAAACCCCTTAAGAAATATAGATATATCTAGCCTATCCTATCTGCATTTGGATACTTGAATATATGAATTGATCAACTTGTTGAAATTATTTTGACGTTAGAATAGTGAATATAAGATCAATTTTGACGATCCGATGCTTTAACTTTAGCTTTCTAGGTATGTCAAACACATTGATGAACTCTTATTTGAGAAACTTTGGTTTATTTATACAAATTTCGTATCATATGGCCTAAATGACTAAGTTTTATGCATTCCCATCATACCCCTCTTGCTTGATCCACATGTCTTCAATTTTGACAGATAAAGAATATGAGTTTCCATAATTGAACCATATTTGTATTTGTATCCGATCCCTACAACCCATTGCAAATAATCTTTGTAGTAGTCTAGGATGCATCAGATTGTTTAGTTCAAGACAGTAGATAGATACTACATCAGAAAATGCTTTTCTTCCTGAATCCATAGGGTTCCCCCTCATTATGGCTGTAGTTAAGGACTTGGTGCTTTCTTAATTCTTTCTAAGTCTACTCGTTTCGCTTGTTTTCTACTCTGATATAGAACATAGTTCAAATTGAATTGCAATACAAGCTACAATGTCTTTTCTGGAATTAAGTGGGAAAATACAAGGACATGATGAATTGCAGCATTAAATTGCGCAAGAAAATATTCTACAAATTCTATTTTGGGGAATAAAACTGGAGGGGGAAAAAGAATGCATATTTTTTAAAAAGGAACTACCTCTAGGTTAGAATTGGTACTTTATGTAGGATCATTACCAATGAACTCTCCATTGTCATTCCATGGACGAACTCCGTATGATTTTCCAATCACACTTCTTTTCTGATTTATCGTTCCATCGTCACAACGATATTCAGGGAAATAATCCAAGAATGACTTGACTCCGAGTGAATCAACTCCTTCGAATAAGAATTGCCTCACAACTTCCTGAAAATGATGAATCAGCTGCATGAATCAAATTCAAAAGAGAGCCAAACCAGTAAGATTACAAGTGAGATACCCTTGCAAGACTTTCTCCAACCAATCTCTTCAATAATGGATGTCCAGGATCCTGATAGATATCAACATTTTAGCCTAAAAGGAACCCCCTCAATGAATAAACATAAGGAAAAGATAGGTGTTCGGTGGCAACTCATTTTCTAAGTTCAAGACAGAATAGGTGGATTCACCATTTCTATCTCTTGGTAGCTCATTTTGCTAAATGTGATGACAACTCATATTAGGTATCCCCCAAAAATAGCTTACCCTAAGAACAGTTTAACAGAAGAATGGTAACCAAAAAGGAAAAATAGAAAAAAGAAAAAGAGAGGACATATAAGAGGAACCTTTTCTGCTCTCCAGGTTAGATACTTGTGCTGTGCTTCACGATTCTGATGAATCAGAGATTCATCGTTTTCTTTGATTGCTTGCTCCAACAATTCAAGCCATGCCTAACATTTTAGCAGACACCAATTACTGATAATTCATTAATCACCATCTTATGTGTGTTTATGGCCGTAAGTCATGAAGGGAAAATTTTCATGTGAAAAATGTAACATACCTGATATACATGGAAAAAAATGTCAAATCCTATATTGTATGCATTGAACAAAGGGAAAAAAACACTTTATAATCACTAGGATTTAAAATAGGCAAGCTTAAAAGAAAACTATATCTGAGAACTAGAAAGAGAATATAAGACCCAAATTCACATGGTTGAAAAGTTGTGGAGGTAGAAATAGGATCTAAGGATCCTTCAAATGCACCAAAACCATATCTGAGAAAGAGAGAGACACCGGGTTCATAATGCTTCTTCAACTTATGAATTTTTACACTAAAATGGTTCCCAAACACATTATACGATGTAATGTATCTTAGTTTTCAGAATATTTACCTCAAAGTAGTCCTTGAATGCAGAATACAGAACTTGATGCTTGTGATGGTCTGTACTGAACTTGGTCCATATTACAATTGGTGAAAAGAATCTCAAAGACTCACTTGTGAGCTTGTCTCCCCAAGGCAAAAGCTACGTTATATACTCATCAGTAGCTCGAAGCAATATTTATCATAGTTTTTAAATTAATATAGTAACAAAGGAAGTAGCACGCATGCCATGAGTTAAATATTAAAATTTGATACCTCAACATATTTCTGGCCAAGAGGCAGTAGCTTTCTATAGTACTTGTCCTTGTAATCTTTTTGGATAACGACATCATGCAAAGGATTAAGATCCCTATAAACGATCAATTATGTTTTTAGTCCCATAAGTTCCAAATATTCCTATAAATTTTAGAAAACAAAATTATGTCAATAGACAATATGATCACTATTTTTTTCTGATAATTGTCAATTCTTTATCTTGTACTACGAGAGTAAATCCATGATGACGACAAGATAGAGGTACGAGTGGCTACACTTCGGATATAGATATGATGTGCATATGGGAAGTATACTTGAGCACGTGTTTGTGTATTGGTGTTAGTTGTAGAATATCTCTGTAAGGGCTAAAACAGCAAATGGTTAAAAGGAACAGCTTTAACAACAGTTGAAAGATGCAAAACATATTATTTGCAGGCATACGACAAATGATAGTTGTTTAGTTTTACTTTTTTGGAAATACTATCCATTTTTTTCTCCTATTACATATGGTTTTTCAGATTTCATATGTGATACGTCATAAGTCATATGTCATGCATCATTATCTCTACACCATATTTCGAATTGATCGGTCTCATTAATTTGC